TTGGTTCTATCTTACCATTTAATGTTTAAGTAGCACTTGCTGGTGCAGTTTAGACAGAATGTTTGCAGCAGATCCATGCCTTATAGTTATAAAGAAGTAAAGGCTTGCATTATGGTCCTTTAACTTGTTTTTTAAAAAAGCAATCAACAAATATTGATTAACACTTCAACTGTCTCCTCAAAGACATTTGACCTTTTTGATTCCATTTTCTTTGTCTATTGGTTTGTCACTGAGCAGTGTGCTGTGTCAGTAGCAGAATCTGTGACAGCTTTTAGTTTCTTTTCTTTTTTATTTTTTTCTTGTGGAGCGAAGTCTGTGTGGATGGTGTATAATCTTACATGCTTAGAAAAGCCCTGGTCTCCAAGGTGTAGTGGTGAAGAGCTTGGGCTCTGCAGTCAGATGGCCTGAGCGTCATTCAGGCTTTGGTGTGTACTCAGTCTGTGATTTGGAGCAAATTACTTAACCTCTAAATTCACTTTCCCTATCTGTACAACAGAGATAATGTTAGTACGTGCCTGGTTGTTAGTGGTTGTGAGTGAGATTAAATAATTTTGGAATGAACCATGCACTATGCTTGGCACCTAATAAGTACTGAATGATAGCTAGCTATGATTCTTTTCCTTTTGGATCAGTGGTCCAGGTTTTCTTTGGGTCTTCTTGTACGTTCACTTCTAAAACACAGGGAGTTACACAGAAGCTTCTGTAGGACTCTGTAGGGACTTTAGCTTCTATTGCTTTAAAGCCTTTGGAATTGAATTATTTCAAGAAGAATTTCTTTCTTTGCAGAAGGACTGTGAAGGAAGTAAACTTTAACTCTAGATTCTTGCCTGCCTTCCAGGCCATGTCTTTATTCTGTTCTAAAATATCGCGGCTCCAACAAATAGATCAACACAGTACTGTCCGTGCCACACTTTTATTTCACGGCACGGGGAATACACAGGAGTCTCCTCAGACTGCCTTGCAACTTGTCTCAAATATAATTCAAGTCTTGAAGTGATTAGCTGGATGTGTGCATTCTAGGAACAGTTGGAGGAGATAAACATCACTAGCAAATGCTTTCAGAATTTTCTGTCAGTCCCGGACTCCTGTGAAAGTTACAAATGGGTGGTAAATCTATCGTTTAATTGCTTGGGGTCCATTAAGGCCCTCTGGATTTTCTTTGGGCTCTGGTCAGGTAAACTAGTATGCATATTTATAGCCAATTCAAATGCCCAAGAAGATCACTGACCAATTGCTATCCTTATTTTTAAAAGTCACCAGATAAGGCAATTTCTCAAACAACTTCAGCAGGGCATTCCAGAAATGCTTGATCTCGTACTTCTCTGCCCTATAATAAATAAATACAATTTTGATTTCATTTTAGAGTAATTAATCTCAACTTCCCCTTCTGGGATGTAAAGTAGAAAAATGTTCTATAGCTCTTTGAACATTAGATTCAGAAGAATATGCCCTAAACATTCTACTTAATTAAAGCCTAAAGAGGTGGTACAAATTTTTCATGATTAATTGAAACATGCATATTTTGACTGATACATATTTATATGATTTTATCATATGAAAATTTTATATGTTATACAAACTGTCCGCTTTAGAAATGTGATTTAATGCTGTAAACATTTTGCCTTTGTTGTATTGTTCATCATGAAAAATATACAGGCTAATGGCTGTAAGATAATGTAGTATAGGAATTTGTTATGTGAATCTTCTTTGAGATAATTTCAACTCTCTAATGGCACAGACCTTTAGCCTAAATATAAGATAGGTAATCAGGTTTTCTCTAGTTTGAAAAATATATTTTAAAGCAGATGAAATTAGAAAAGTTAAAGTGCTGAAGACTTCTATTTTTCCAATGTAAAGCATGCACGTTATTCTCGGGCTTCTGTTAGAAAAAAGATGTGGTTGTTGAAATGAACCAATCCCTTTGGCTTTAAGCACTTAAGAAAAGTTCACTTTTCTTACTGTTAAGAATGGTGACACTATCTCATGTTTGGTGGCAGAATTTCGAGCTATATTTTGGCTGACAAAATTAATTTAGATAATCACAGTTCTTTTTTAGTTTCTTAAGTATAATATTAATATAAATGACTTTTATAAGTCTAGAATACCTGGGATATCTGAAAATGTTTTCTTGAATTTTTGGAATAACCCCTTTATCAGATTCATCTTTGGATCGTTAGCTATCGATAACAGTTTGATGACAGGAAAAGCAGAAACCTGATGGAAGTTTTCCAAAGTGGTTGCCTTTATGAAACAGAATTTTATGAAAAATGGATGGGAATATTGATCTATTTAACAGAACAGATACTAACCACTATTCTAAGAGTTTTCCGGCGGCCAGATACAGAACAATAACGTACAATTTCTTTGGTCTCACCTTCTCATATTGCTACTTTGTAGTAACAATGATTTATAAAATTAATGTTTTAAAATTCTACTTTTTTGTTTATTTGTTAGGTCTATTATAAGCAAGTATCCTTGTCTCCTTTTAAAAAATGACAAATGGGTCTGTCTGGTGATGCTGGAGTGAAGCTTGGGAGAGACACGGGACTGCCCTTTGGCTCCAAGCATCATTGCTCCAGGCCAGGCGCGAGTGGCATGCTAACTAAGCCCCTGGTCTTGTGATAGTTTTATATTATACCTTTTCTCATCTCATTGTTGGTCCATTAGAGTTAAAGATCTAGGACTGAAGAAATCTTATGTTTTGTTTCCTAAACCAGACTATTTAAAGGAAGAAACAACAAAGGGAATCTAATGCTTGTTCTCAAATGGCTTCTTGGGAAGTGGGGTCTCCCCATTAAACTGTGAGGCCAAATGATTTCCCCCGTAAAATTTTTTTTCTTTACAGATTTCTCCAGAGTCAAGCTTATTGTCAACGGATCATTTGTGAGAGTTCTGCTGTATCATCTTCTTTTTCAGGAATTTAAGATTTTAAAGCATCTTATTGATTGGGAAAAATAGAAACTATTAGTGCTAGTTAGTTTAGTAATGACAGCTGATTGTTTTAAAAACTTGCTATTTCTAATCTAATTTAAGAAAACTCCATATTCTAAGGTAAATTATAGATCTTTGTTAATTCTTTGTACCATGTAAAATGTCTCTATGTAGACAGATGCCATATTAGAAATCATGTAAAAATATAAATAAAAGTTTTCTTTGAATAGAACAAATTATTAAATATAAACATTTGAATTCATATCATGACTCCATTTCAAGAAAATTTTGTTATCAAAAATGTTTAGCTAACATCAGAGCTCATTTTTATAGTCTCATTTGACAATTAAAAATAGATAACAGTATATAATATGTGAAATAGAAAAAGTCACTAAAATGACAGTATTTATCCCATTAAGGTAAATAAAATGCTGAAAGTAGTTGTGAGTGATGATACCCGAGAAAAAAAAGCTGTCTCACTGCACTACAAATCAGTTTGCTTCTAATTTTGCAGGCTGATGACCACACTGCCTCAAACCAAATCTTTTCCCTAGAAATGGAGTGATTGCATGACAGACTCTATAAACCATGAATATGTCAACAGCTCATGGACCAGGCCTTGCTTAGCAATTAGTCTTTGGGGGATTTTATTTAGAAATCAGAGAAGACTATACTAGAGCTTGTTGGTGATTTTGTGATTACCATTCATGTCTGGAGCATGAGTATGGGTTATAAAAAAATTCCATAAAGGAAGAAGAGATGTGGCAGCCAGTCTTTCTCTCTCTCTCTCTCCTCCTCTCTCTCTCTGTCTTTGTCACACACACACACACACACACACACACACACACACACACACACACACAGTCAATTGGGAGGACAGAGAAAACTTAAGGTATAGCAAAAGTCCCTAGGAGGCAGCAAGGAAATGTTTCTTAGGCTTCTGCTTAAAGTTTTCTTTTATTCCCCGCTCCCCCCCCCCACCCCAAAGAGGCCAGTGTTTCCTAAACTTCAGTTATTTGAATATCACCATCATAATTTTTATCACTTCTTACACCTGCACTATGATTTACTCAATATATTTTACTAAATGACACTTTAAAAGCCTATCTTTGTTTTAGGCAGTAGTATTTGTGGTATCACAGGCTCACTGTGCTAGTTAAATTTGTTTTCTTCTTATACAAAGGAAAAGAAACACAGCATTTTAAATAGTGGAAATATTTGTATACTACCTACAACCATTCTGAGTATCCCCATGACATGAGTAATGGGTCCTCTAGGAGCTGATAGGACCATCACGCTGGCTGAGAAACATCTGACACCCCCATTGCCATCCATCCCTCCATCCAGGGCCCATGAATCACATCACATGGGGAATTGAAATCTGGCCTGCATTTCCCTGAGCACACCAGTGCTGGAAGGCTGTGTTGTCAGAGGCTGCCCAGTGAGCCAGGCTTGTCCCTTTCCATTGCCAGAACCTGGCCACTCACATCTCTCCTTTTATGACTAAACACCTTGCTTGGGAATCATTATATTGCAAGAGTAGACAATAGCCCATATCATTTAACAGTAATAAGGAACTTGCCATGGTTGAGCCTGGCCCCTCACTGTCAAGGTTCATGTGAGGGCATCACATTTGTAGGTTATCACCCCACAGATTGTCCCACCCAATACAGATCTTGTAGGCTTTCAGCAGAACCTTTGAAGAAATGGGTCATTTTACAAGCTTCATTAGCACTAGGACAGGTTTTACTAGGCAGCTTAAGCATTTTACCAGGCTATAAGAAGCCCTGAGAGCCCTGGTGGCTCTGCAGTCATGCTCTGGTTTTTTTAAGTAAATGTCTTTTAGAAACATAGGAGCCACAAAATAAAAATAAAGAGAGAGAGAGAGAGAGAGAAAGAAAAAGCAAAAAGCCTTCCCCTCCAAGAGCTGGCTGTCCTACTCAGTCAGAAAATGGTGAGGTCAGGAAACTAAAATCAGACCTCAGTAGCTCTGTCAGGGTCAGGGTGTGTCTAAGTTTGAAGGGATGTTTGCTTCTGATATGAACATTTTTCTTATACTTTTATTATAGAAGATGATGTGTCAAATGTACAAATAATGTGTGCCTGGTGCCAGAAAGTGGGAATCAAGCGCTATTCCCTGAGTATGGGAAGTGAGGTGAAAAGCTTCTGCAGCGAGAAGTGCTTTGCGGCCTGCCGGCGAGCCTACTTCAAGAGAAACAAGGTAAGAGCACGGGAGAGAGAGGCGGCCCACGCAGGCCTCACCAGCCCACGCGCATGTGCCTCCTAGCTTCTAGCGGAAAACACTGTGCACCTTTTTCTTTTATACTTTTATTCTTTCTGTTTTGTCCGTTCCCTTTCTCTGTCATGCTTAACCTTTTGGAATAAGGAATCCCCTTCTAATGTGTTTCTCTTGGCTTGGTGTTTGAATTCTGAGAGGCTGAGTGGATCTGGTGAGGACAGGGCGATTGCAGCTGGTATTCTAATCGGCAGTGTCTCTCCAGCAGTAGAATACACAGACTAGACCGGGAGAGATGAGTGGCAGAGATTTCCCATGAAAGCCAAGAAACTAGCCACAGAAGCATGGCCAGAAAGCGTTAGTCCTCTCTGTGTAATCCTTGTTCCCAGTGGGAATATTTCTATTGCTCTTTCCAAATTCTGACCCACAAGTTCTAGTCAAGAAAAATGTCAAGTCTCTCTTGACACTTCCTGTTAAAGTTGATTGATACTGAGAAAAAGTGAAATGATGAATACACGAACCAACACTGCTTGCACAGCCGAGCATTTTCGAGAAGCATGGTGGGTAAACACAGGAACAGCCATGGTTATACTTTTTTTATTTTTTAAAAAGAAATATCCCAGGTCTGAAAATGTCCTTTTATAAGAGTTTTAGCCATCACCGATGGGAAATGGAATGCATGATGTTTTTACAGTCACACGCACACATACATGCACAACTGCTTTCTTAAACCTCAAACTGTTTATAGCCTTTTGCCACCAAGTACTGAGGTAAATTACTAGTCCTCAATTATTTTCCATTGATCTGTAAAGCTTCCTTAATTCATAAAATCATCCACATTTTGCTAAGCATTTCCATTTCTATAATACAAGATCAAAATCTGTTCATTCTTAAAGCAAACAGTATGATTTTTAAAAAGTTTGATATTTGCAATCCCGAAATGCTAATCATGGGCTCACTGCATTGCAGGAAGCACTGTTTGCAGCAAACTATCTCCTGCAAATTTGGGTCACATTCATTCTGCCAAAAAACATAATGCCGAAAGAATTAGGCTGCAGAATTCAGCAGGGTGGAATTTTAGTAGCAGTCTCTAAGAATTAGGCTCATAATCTTCACTGGAACAGAGGCAAGTAAGGAAATTGTTTGGAATTCTTTTGGGACGGTCAGTGGTCAAGTTCACTTTCCCTTGGGAGGGGCCCGTGAGTCTGGGGAGGAGGGTGGGAAGAACGACACATGGGAGACACGTTTTGTTTTAATATAGGGGGATTAAAATGATCTCCAAGACCCTGGGGCTCCCATTTTGAATGCTGAGCACTGGGGTAACAATCCCAGGAGTGGGCCCAGTGCTTTCTTCTTCAAAGCCCTACTTACCACAACAAAATACTTTGCATTCCATCCTGGAAGATGGCTGTAGAACTGGGCTTTTTGTCTTTCTATAATTCAGAGGGGTTATAGGTCTGAATCTTGATGGGCTGCCTGTAGTGAATAAAATCAATCAAGATGGATTTGTCACAACCATGGCAATGCATGTTACACTTTGCAAACTGATTTTACTTTACAGTAAGCCTTTGAAGAAAGGCACCTGATTCCATTTGGAAAAACTATCTTTTACATCATTATAGAGTATAAGGTCAAATTGATTTTCAACTTCCATAACATATATTTTTGAAAAACGGATAACTAGGAGCCAAGATAAGAATTAGTATTTGGAATTTACAATAGGTAAAATCAGCAATGGGAGGAGGACCACCAGGAGTTAATTGGAGTAGGTCTTTGAACATCTTGCAAAACCTTGGAGTTGCAGTGGTTTGGTGGTTAGCCAGCGACTGCTGGCTGATTTTAGTAGTCTATTAGTGTGCATACAATACCTGTCTTCTCTGCAATCTTCACCTTTGTTTATGTATCCTAAAGCTCTGCCATGCTATACCTTCTTGTTTTTTTTTTTTTGTTTTTTTTTGAAATAGAAAAAATAAACTGGTCATATCACCTGCTGGATTCTTTTTTTAAAAAGAGTGTTATCTCTGTAACAATATTGTATTACAATAAACATGTACTGCTGCTGCATTTCTGTTAACTGATAGGATTTTGTGGTCATTTCATTTAGGGCTTGGGTTTCCTAATGGATTATATTAGATACCAGTCTCCATCCTGCCATTTCTAAGAACCGCTGTAATAAGCCCCTGGGTGTTTCCCACTAAAGACAATAGCAAATAGCTACTTCTCTTCTTGTATCATTTAACTAAGTCCTCAGTCCTCATTATTAAAATTGTGGACTTTCTTAATCTTAATAAAAAGGGCAAAATTCTTCCCATTCCTATATAACAGATTTTTCTAGCTAAATTCTACATTTTTAAATATTGAGAAGTAGATGGAAAACAGTGAATAATGTGTGTGCAGAGCAGAATTTTGCCTTAGGTATAGTGTAGATTTTTAAAAAAACATAAAATTAACTATGCTGTAAATTATCCTTTATAATGACAGCCCACTTCTTGCTGGATGGCATGCTGGGATCTAAAAATGGTCTCTGAGTTGAACTCAAATTGCATGCATAACTTTACAAAGAAAAATCCTAGTAGAAAAGGTAGCTAATTAGGAGCAGTATTCAGCTGACCTCTGTTTTGTGTCTGAGCAACACCTGCATTTGTGAATGTAAATTGGACAGCTGTGCCTGTGGTCCTTGTGCTTTCCTCTTCACAAACGCTTGGGTATAGAAGCAGGAATTGATTTGCTGCTAAAAACAAGGACAAAAATAGCCCAACTCTCAAAATGACGGCCCACTGAAAATGGGCTTTTCAAATTTCGTTTGCTTCCCAAACCTTCATTTCTCTTTGGGTCTCTGTCTGTTTAATGGGAAGGTGTGGGGTTGGTGAAAATGTCATATACATCCAAACCCTGTCACTATGCAATAAGGTGGGATGTATTGAAGCTAAGTTAACCCTTGATAGCATGTAAGTTATATATTTTAGCTGAATTTAAAATTTTATTTCAAGAATTGTTTGGATTGCTACAGATATGTAACCCTCCTTCAAAATACTTCTATTAAACACTGCTAGGAGAGCGCCATGAATCACAGCTGTATTCACTTAAGGAATCTACTAGTTTACACATTTCAGGATGTTGGCTCTAAGAAGTTTATACTGTTAATTCATAATATATTTTGTAGAATTCTTATCCCAAAAGGCTCAATTGCTGGCTCAAAAGTGTTCAAAACAGTGGGTAAGCAAAATCCTCATGTAGTCAGTGGGCATCGGATGAACAATGGGATATCAATCTTGTTGCTTGATGCACTAGAGATTTTTCAGCCTACTAATAGCTCATTCTTTTCCTACCCGCTTCTAGGACTTGAGAACATTTCTAGCCTTGTGATTCACCTAGGAGTTGGAAAGTTGCAGAGACTCCTTAGTGGTTTTGCACTCTTGTACATTTAGTCCAACTTGCCAATGCCAGTTTTACTTTGCATAATAATCGACTCTTAAAAATATTCTTTCCTAAGGGAGTAATTCTTTGTAACCATTATATCTCTAAAAAGGAGAGTAACAAACATGACCACAAATAGTAGTCATTTCCAAAATAGCCTGTGTTTGATCTTTTTCCTTTTGCATGGGAAATATCCTATTGTCTAAATTAATATCCAAATATTGAGCAGGAAATAAAAATTAAAGACAGATGGCCAAAGCAGGCAATATAAAGAATGATTGTTAACTTTTCTTGTTTGGTCTCAAGTTTTAGTGTTCTTGATGGATTAGTAGCATTGATAATTTAGGAGTAAATGCACATTCCTAATAGCTCCAACGTTTACCTTCCTTGTTCTAGCTTTTCCATGATTTGAAACAAGAACAGATAGAAATAATTCCTCAATATCATAATGTTGTTATTTCCCAGCAGACCATAGTGGGAAGAAAGCAACACGAATCACTGATAAAGATAAGGATGCATTAAAAAGAAAAGATGATATAGATGGAAACCACATCTGCAAATGATGCCATTAAGATTTCCTAACAATCATTATAATAATAACATAAATATTCAACAGGAGGAATATTGTATAATAAGCATTTCTTTTACTTTCAAACTATATCCCTGGGTATGTAGCAATCTCTTCTTAGAAGAGATTTCTTTTGGAAGAACCCATCTCTAATTAGCATTTATCATCATTGTATTTGGAGTTATATTTTATTTAGACATAGACTATTTGTCTTTTTATTAAACTTGACTATTTCCTGGGAAAGATTTTTCAGTTTCAGACTTAATTATAGAACCTGGTAGTACAGAAGAAATGTGTAACAATTTTTCTGTTAATCTAGCGATTAACCTGTCTACTCTTTTTCCTTTAAATACCTGCAAGATTTAATTTGCAAAATGGCTATCATTCATGAAGGTTTGGAGAAGGACATTAAGAAATTACTTGCAATTACTGCCCCCTGACCATCTGAAGCTCAGGCCACAGACTTGCTCTTGCCATTTGCTTGCAAATATCCTTGGTCCACAAGTAAATGCACCCAGGAAGGCCCAGGATTCTTCTTGTGGTTGCCTCTTGTTTTTCTCAGGCATCAGTGAGCCTGTTGGGTCTGCCTACTTGCACCTTGGCCTGCTGGACAATTGCTTTGGTTCTGCAGTGTCCCTTGGTACTGTGCTGTAAGCCTGCCCACTGCCTTGCATGTAGAGTGGCCTCCTCCTCTCAGGGCGTTCGTCTGCAGGCCAGCAGCTGAGTTTCCTTTTGGTCACAGCAAACAGGGGCGTCCTCAGGAAGCTCTAGGGAAAGAACAACAAACCCAACTGTTTTCTTGTTCTCTCGTATTTTGAAATATGGAATGGAATATTGATGAGCTGCTGCAAATGAAAGCCTGTGAGAAGCAGTAGCAGAGAAGGGGGAAAATGAAACACATTTGGGATGGGGCTAGAGCAGAACAGTTCTGCCTAGTAAAGTAAGGTGTAGGTCAGTTTCAAGTGACACACAGACCCTTGAGTAAAGCCAGCAAGCATTC